CCGGGATGATCAAGTTCACTAAAGAGCTGCAACCACGAAAGGTAAAACCCGCAATGTAGGTCACAGAGTCTGGGATGGTCAAGTTCACTAAAGACGTGCAAAACTGAAAGGCACAGCTCCCAATTTGGGCCACTGAGTTTTGTATGGTCAAGCTCACCAAAGCACTGCAACCGTCAAAGGCGCAATTCCCGATGTCAGTCACTGAGTTTGGGATAGTCACGCTAACCAAGGAGCTGCATTGTGCAAAGGCATAATCCTCAATGAGGGTCACTGAGTTTGGGATGATCACTTTGGCCAATGTGTCGCAACTGTCAAAAGCGCAAAAACAGATCCGTGTTTCAGTGTCTGGAATTTCGACCACAAGCAGCAGTTCGGACCCAACGATGCCGCCAAGACTGGCGATCGCATCTTTGTCGGAGCATATCACTTTGTTTGTTTTGAACACAACACTCACAACAGTATCTTCAGAAATTCCAGCTTCCAATACCTTTGCATCATTGGCCAGCAATTGGTCGTCTCCGACAATGACCTCGACACCTGTAGTGCTGTGAGTGAGCTCGTCCCAAGGCTGTCCTTCCTTGATCTGCTGCTTAAGCTCCTTGCCTGTTGTCTCAGGCGTGACTTCAAGAACCAGGGCTTCACCACTTGGCCGCAGCACCGAAATTGTTGCTGCCATGGCTCAATAAAAAGGAATCGGAACGAGGCTTTGACCTGATTGCTTGTTGGCTAGCCTTGACGAGCAGTCCATGATCATGCACACATGTTTGGCTTCTTCGCTGGACAGGTGATTCTGACACCAGTCAGATGTGCTGCGATCTGATCAGAGTGCTGCGAGAAAAGATATCCCAGACACTCCATGTATAGTATACCTACATTAGGCTGGTGCCAGAGGGGTCTTTCTGGGAGCGGCAGAACTATGACATACTATGACAGACATCGGTCGTGGAGCTGGGGAGCTGAGCTCTGGTTTCCCCAGTGAACCTCAACACCTTCGCACCCGGAAGCTGATCCAGAACCTAAGAGGCAGGACGCAAACGGTCGACCGGTCCCCTAGCTCAGTGCCCCAAAAACCGGTCTCCAGTGGTACCTCACCCAGAGGCGACCCTGGACCCGAACCAAATGTCGAAAAAAACAGTCCCTATAGGGATCCAGTCGTACCGAACCTCAGAAGGTACGACTGGACCCTCCTGGCACCTACATCAAAGAGTCTCCAATCACCGTACCTGAGAAGGTACGACTGGATCCCGGAGTAGGATTCCTTTGTAACGTGTTGATTTGTTGAAAGACGTGAATTGAGAGAAGATGGCACAGGGACCCCAAGTTCGGTGCTTTTTGGTGAACCCCCCCCCAGCTGTCGGATAGACATCTTGGGATGCCAGGGCCATCGAAACCACTGCCAACCACATGTTCAACCAACCAAGGTACCAGGCCTTGGGAGTTCCTCCATCTCGTCGGTCCAATCACTTCCCAAAGCTTCCCATGGATGGACAAAGGATGAAAAAAGAACGTGCTAAAACACTCATTAGTGTTTTAATGAGTACATTGGGTTGTAATTGTTTAATGGTATACACTCATTTATGTTTGTTGAATTTCAACACAAACATTGTACATCGGGTCAACATGTTCATCGGGTCAACACTCTATGTACATCATTAATTGTACGTGCTCAACAATGTCAACACACATGTTGACCCGATCTGGCAAAAAAAGAACACACACATGTACCAAAACCAACCGGATGGAAACACAAAAAACGGCTAGCCTTTCTCTCCAAGAAGCCATCTGAGGGCTGCTGGCCAAGTTCCAAACCTTCGCGTGCCTGGTCCGACCGCTTCGACCGAAACCACCGCGGCGTGACGGCGCCACGGCGAAACCGCCGTCCGCCACGAATGGTTCGCGTCGATCGGTGGGAGAACGATGGAGTCAGGTTGACACTGAAGAGGTTGACATCACCACCCGTTTGGGCTCCAGTCGTGCCTTCTAAGGTGGGACTCGGGTGGGTGGGTGCCATGTTCGGGTCCAGTTGTACCGTACCTGAGGAGGTACGACTGGAGCCCTAGGGCAAGCATGGCACGATCAAGAATCGGAGCGAGTGGCGTGGAAGGAAACGGTTGGCGAGGTGGCTGATCAATTGGGGCAAATGCTGTTTGAGCCAGACCGGGAAAACAACGAAGCAAACAATGGAGATAATAGGCTGAGGTAGGTTTTCTCTAGATTCGACAGGTTCAAGAAGGAATGGGAAGTTCTAACATGTCCTTTATGAGCTTCAACATTGTTTGGAATGTCCTCTCTTTCAAACTTTCAAATTACACCATGTTTTCTTTCGGTAGACCCAATAGCCGCTAACAGTTCACAGCGAAAACAGTTCACACCGGTCCTTCCACACTATCGGGACTGGTAAAAATCCAGACCTCTCTTGAAGATTACCAATCCCGTTGTTTACCAATCCAGTCCCAGACTGGCGGTTGTTTTCAGAACACGACCGGGGCTGCTAGTCCGGACGGCCTTCAAAACAGCCACGGTGGTCTGTGCCACGGGGTCTGGGGCAGTCACTGGCCAAACAAGCGTGAGACGTCGAAAACCAACTCCGAGGACTCCAGGAGTTGACCGGGGTGACCCAGCGCTGCTTTTGGTCACTCCCGCGGTTCGGGTGCTGGTGCGGAAGGTTCAGCCCGCGCGCGACGCAGGTTCCAGAAGCATTTTGGGGGCCTTTGGCTTTGAGGAATTCACTCTGGTTTTTGGATCTGATCCCTGGCGATGACGAAGTCACGTGGTTTTTTGGTTTGCGTTACCCGTGACGTTGTTCGATCTCGTGCGATCTCGGGCGTTCGACCCGACTGACTTCGTCCCGTCGTCTGAGAGAGAATGGTGATTTCAGAGAACGCGACATGACCCGAACAAAGAAACAGGTACAAGGTACGAACAGGACCTGTTCCACTTTTGTATAAACTCCTTCATAGACCAAAAAAAATAATGCTACTCAGGTGGACTCCAGCATATATTCCATACCAGCACCTTCCAACAGGTGGTTTTTGGACACCCCTTAACCACTAAGAGGCTATGTATAGACACCTCTTGGAAGGTCCTGGTACATGCAGTGTTGGAGACTCCAGGGTACTTGGATCTTTTCATTATTGAATTCAGCTTTTGCCCAGGCCCTTCACCTCACTTCACTCGATAGCGCATTCTTGACACTCAAACTCTTTTCAGAAGAAGATGAATAATAATAATAATAATAACAACAACTACTACTACTACCACTACTACCACTACTACCACTACCACCACCACCACCACCACCACCACCACCACCACCACTACTACTACTCGGCAACCTGAGGGTGCCGAAGCCAAGCTCAGCTCAAGCTTCAGCAAAACCGCGTCTCTCACCCATCCCTCTGTCTTCCTCCATTCCGTGTCCTCAAACCTCGTCCAAGCCCAAGCAGCCCATCGAGTCCGGCAGTGACCAACAAGTTCTTCGCGGGCGCATCCTGCAGGCTGGTGCAGGCCACGTCGTGCGCCATCAGCCTCGGCCGTTCCGGACGACCCGCGCCACGCGACCCGACCGTTGGGACGGTGGACACGGAGGACACGGAGGACCAACGGCAGCCGGTGGCGGCGGCCGTGGCCCGGAGGGAATCCCGAGCTAAGAGGTTGATCGTGAAGACCTGCGGACCAGGTGAAGAACCAAAGAGGAACTGCAGGCTTCCCGTGTTCTTTTCACCTCCTATAGGTGTTGGTTTCCCCCCTTAGATATTGGGTGTTCGAATGTTTGGCTGTTCAATGATCATGCCTTCGAAGAAGGGATGATCCTCATTTCACTTGCCAAACCCCAAAAGACTATAATACGTATACGCGGAGTCTCCAGTTCGTACCTTAGAGAATGGCACATGACCCCATAAACAACAGGTACGACTGAGTCCCCATTTTCCGAGGTACGAACGGGTCGACTCCAGGTACGAAAGCCCCGGTCACATGCTGCCTTGTCAACATCTGAGCAGTTCCTTCGTAGAGGCCCCGGTCACATCACTTCCTCCAGTCACCAGATGGGTCCACACAACCCCAAACGCACTGGGTTGACTTGTGGTGGTGTTAAGTGTGAGCAAGCCAGAGCAGGGAAGAGGTAATTATACCGGACCAAGAAGGGGTGGTGAATGGAGACTCCTTACATCACCTCTAAGCTAAGGAGCTATCAATTGAAACCCCTTAGCTAGGGTGTCCTGGTATAGGTGTATGTTTGCTTGTATGTATTTTGTATGTTTTTGGATCATGGCTACTAGGGCTCGAGAAAGTGGTTCACCCAAGGTGAGCCAAGTGAATGCTCTATACGTTTCCGGAGATGTGATCATCGCAGTGAGAGGGGAATGAATTCCCTGTCATTCACAAGCAAAGGGCCACACTGAGAATAGGTGGATTACAAGGGATTACAATGTAGCAAACATGGGCCAAAAGAAACACATGTTCGGGATTTCGATGGATTTCGGGTGTCCATGAATAGCCTTTTAAAAGAAAAGGCCATGAAAACCACCCTTAAGTGTGACTCCTAGTGTTGTGGTTATCTTACCGATGTCAAAGACCCTGTACTTCAGACTTCGCAAGACTTGGACACGTCAGGGACGGTGTGAACTGCGAGCGCCGGCACAGGTGTAGAGCTCTACGACGGCACCAGGAGACTGAGAAAGATGACGTGATGTCAAGGCTCAGAGCGGTGATGCTCCAGATGTTGTTCCTTGAAACCTTAAAAGGGTGGCAAGGGTATGTGGATTCCTTTTTTTGGGGCTGTCCCACATTCTGATGAGCTGAGCAGGTTCTGGTAGTAGGGGTCTGTCCCTACCGAAGCTCTTCAGATGTGGGCCAGGAGCCCCAGGACGAAGAAGCCGCTCACGTGAGAAGCACTGCTTTGCACCACCACTGCTTTCGGGGCATGGAGCTGTAGGAGCTCCTCACCCCAACCCAAACACCACAGGACACCACAGGGACTTCAAGAGTGACCATGGGGTCATGTTCCAGGGGTGACAAAGGGGTGGTTTTTAGTCCCATCCAGGGGCTGTGGAGTGGATAAGGGGCACCCCTGCCACTATCCTCCGTTCGGAACCGGCACCCCCCGTCGAAGGTGACTTGTGGTTCGGGGTTTTCATGTCTGTCACTTCCCTAGAAGTCCAGTTCGACTATTTTGGGCACCACCCGGAAGTGTTCAGGAAAGTCCTGGACTCGGATCACCTAAAGACTGTTTAACAAATACACTCCTGAAAACTAACATAGACCCTGACAATGACCCCCTGGAAGATGGTTCCCCTCTACCAACCACAGTGGTTTTCAGGGTCCATGTTAGTCTTCTAGGGTGTAGTCAACTGGACTCCCACCCAGACGCTCCAAACAGCCCTTGGTCTCTCAAAACCTAAGTATTTGAGACCCCTGACCCCTCCATATGAGGGCCCATGAGCGTCTGGGCAGGGACTTGCTTCAAGTCATACATGGATGGTCCAGGTCCACGGCGTCAGACTCGACACCGAGTGACGCAGTGGGTCGCTCGACCCGAAGCATTTGAGGGCCCGGAGTCTTCGGGCAGTATTTATAACCCAAAACACTCCAGGTGACTGCCATATATGCCTGGTTTGGGTGGTTTATATATGTTTGGTGATGTTTGCTGGCAATTGTACAATTTGATTCGTCATCAGAATCCTGCGTGGCATGCAACCAAACAAGGAACCATTACCGCCCGTTGCAGGCCAAGCGGCGTCCACAAGACGGGATTATCCGCCTTGTTGGCCACTTTTCTGACCTTGTTGTTGGCCACTTCTGGAGGGGCTTGTCAGGTTGAACACATCGAAACTTGACAGGTTTCTTTACGGTTTCTTTGTCTTCAAGACAACTGTCTTCTTCCAGGAGGAGTCATTTACACATCATGACACTGAGGAAGCCTGTTGAATAGGGAAGATGGAGCATTCGCAGGGAGTTCTGTTCCATGACGTCTTGAACAAATGCTGCTTGCCCGCTTCGAGGATTAGATACAAAAGACAACAAGAACGTCAGGGCGAAAGATTGTACCATTGAGTCTTCAAATTCCCTAGACTACTAAACAATCTCGAAAGCAAAAAACACAACCATTCCTTCCTGTTCGTAAGGCAACATCCACACGTTCATGGCGTTTGGGATCGTTTTGGTGGTCCCAATTTGATTCAACAACAAGCACATGTACCGGCACCTTCAAAGGGGTCACCAATGAAAGCCCCTACACCAAGGGACCTCCATTCGACAGCCCGAAAGAAGGTCCAGGTATGAAAAAAACGGTACATGCTAAAGTTCCAGCTATCGAATTCAAGGTCCTCAACCAAAACTATACCCTATGGGCTCCTGGCCCTACCTCCTGACCAAATGCTTCTGGTGGCGTCTCAGACTCTCTTCGTTTCGCCGAAGGAGCGTCGTAGCAGCGCACGGCGCCATTGTCGGTACTGGCATAGCACTGGTAGGGATTGTGCCGGCTCCAGATCGCAGATTCTGCCTCTCCATTCAACCTGGGACGCTGAAGACCGGACGAACGAGCCAGCTGGGAGGACAGAAGAGAGCTTGGAGGACGACTAACCATAGTTCCGGTTGGAGGACTGCCCAGAGATCAAGGCGGCTACAGGACCAGCGCTGCGCGTCAAAGCCGCTTTGGGTCCAGCGTCTCCGGGGTCCAACGGATCGGTTCGGATGGTTGGGCGAAGCACCGCTCCGAAGCACTGCCCAGACGCTCCGCTCCGTGAACCGACGCCCCAAACAGCCCCGGTCCCGACTCCTGCCTGGTCCCGAAGCAACACCTACGGATTGGTGAGGTGTTTCCCCGTTCCGACCCCTTTTCCCAGCTTCGGATGAGGTCCGACCCCCTCCGGTCGGGACCGAACGGGTCGCGTCTGGGTGGTTGGAACCCGGCGCCAGCTTGAAGATCCACAAGAAAATGGCTGACACTGGGGAATTCCATCCCTTCGACTCGGGGACTCCAGGTATGTCAAATGACCAGTGTCCTAGTTACACAGATCTGGGCCCAGTGACCGCGGTGAAGCTTCCCAATCAGAAGCTTCACACGGACCCCGAATCGGCCCCGAATCCTCTCAAAGGGGGGGTCGGACACCGGATCTGCGACCTGTCTGATTGAGGGGTCAATGTAGGCAGGCCGATTTTCCAGCCTGGAAGAAGGTCAGGGGCCTGGGGGTTGCTCACCAATCCCTATATCAAATCAACATGCACAGCCACCATCCTCCGAATCAACTGGAAATGGGTGACCTCCGACCCCCAGAACCCCGCGCCCGACGCGAACCGCACGAACAGCATGGCTTTTCTCTCGTCTCGCGCCACAGATCCTCCGTCCGGACAGCGGCCCTGCGAGTGGCGTCGGACTTGAAGTCGCTGGAGGTTCGCACCGCGGTGGGCCAGCTGAGTGGCCAAGCTGCAACCCAGTTCGAGCCCGCAAGGGAGGAACGAACCAATGCAGGAGGTTCACGCTCATCAAAGAAGAGAGGGATCACTGATGACTATAGAGTGGTCCAGCTCGCCCCAAGGTCACGGTGGTCTGGGATGTTTCTGCGCTTGCTGAGCTGGTAAAGGCACCATGCGCGCCAAGGAGTCTGGGATGGTCAAGTTCACCAAAGAACTGCAGTCACTAAAGGCACCATCTGCGATGTCCATGACTGAGCCCGGGATGGTCAAGCTTACCAAAGCACTGCAACCCGAAAAGGCACGTGTCCCGATGTGGGTCACTGAGTTTGGGATGGCTAAGTCTGGCAAAGAGCTGCAATCTGCAAAGGCGTAATCCCAAATGTGGGTCACTGAGTTCGGGATGGTCAAATTCGCCAAAGAGGTGCAGTTTTGAAAGGCATTGTTCCCAATGTCTGTCAGTGAGTTCGGGATGGTCAAGTCTGACAAAGATCTGCAACACCTAAAGGCACCCTTTCCGATGTGGATCACTGAGTTGGGGAGGGTCAAGTCTATCAAGGAGCTGCAACCCTCAAAGGCTTTATTTCCGATGTGGGTCACGGAGTCTGGAATGGTTAAGTTTGCCAAGGAGCTGCAACCAGCAAAGGCATCATGTCCAATGTGGGTTACTGAGTTTGGGATGGTCAAGTTCACCAAACCTGTGCAACACCAAAAGGCACCATGCTCAATGCGGGTCACTGTGTCTGGGATGGTCAGCTTCGCCAATGTTTCGCACTGCTCAAAGGCGTAATCTCCGATGTGGGTCACAGAGTCCGGGATGGTCAAGCTCGCCAAAGACCTGCAACTGGCAAAGGTAGTTCTCCCAATATGGGTCACTGAGTCTGGGATGGTCAAGTTCGCCAAAGATGTGCAATACCGAAAAGTAGCATCCTCAATGTGGGTCACTGAGTTCGGGATGATCAAGTCAACCAATGAGCTGCAACTCTCAAAGGCCTGTTCTCCGATGTGTGTCACTGAGCCCGGGATGGTCAAGTTTACCAAAGAGCTGCAACCCTGAAAGGCATCTTCCCCAATGTAGGTCACTGAGTTCGGGATGGTCAAGTCTGTCAAAGAGTGGCAACCCGCAAAGGCACCATCGCCAATGTGGGTCACAGAGTCTGGGATGATCAACTTGGCTAATGGGTCGCAACCTTCGAAAGCGCTTTCATGAATGTGCGTTTCAGTGTCAGGAATTTCGACCACAAGCAGCAGTTCAGAGTCAACGATGTTGCCAAGACTGGTGATCGTACCTTTGTTGGAGCATATCACTTTGTTTGGTCTGAAGACAACACTCACAACAGTATCTTCAGCAATTCCTGCGTCCAATATCGTTGCATCATTGGCCAGCAAGTCGTTGTCTCCCACAACGATCTCTACAACTGTAGTGCTGCGAGTGAGCTGATCCCAACACTTTCTGTCCTTGATCTGCTGCTTGAGTGCTCGGCCTGTTATCTCTGGCGTGACTTCAAGAACCAGGATTTCACCACTGGGCTGTAGTGCCGAAATGCTTGTCACCATGGCTCAAAGATGCTCAATCTACAAGTTAGTACTAGTACTATCTATCTAGAACCATAAACAAAGTTGGATTCCAACTGATTATAGTTCTTGGTCTGTGGACTATGACTATGACAAATGCTTGGCGGCTTTGCTGGTTGGCTGCTGCTTGGCCGTCACTCCGCAGCGTAGCCTTCGACCACTGGGGGGACGCCGAGTCTGAAGCGGGCTTCGCCGATGCCGCCGAGCGCCCGGCACCCGGACCACGCCGGCGTCGGAAGTGCAAACTCAACGACAGAACCCTACCCCAGACGCTCCATGGGACTGCCATAGGACTGCCGAGAAACGGCCAGGGGTGGTGCCAGGGGGGTCAATGGGGCGGCATATATGCCATACATGGAGTGTATGGGTACAAGTCAGTTTGACCTCATTTTAGGGTAAAAGATGGAGAAAACCGATACGAAAAAGGTAAAGGACCAGGTTTTACTGGGTCAAACTGGACATTGTAGGGGAAGTTCAAACCAGAACTGGGCGTCTAGCAGTCTAGCGTGTCTAGATGAACAAAGCTCGGTGTCTAGAGGAACAAACCACGTCGACATCCTGATGGACTCAAACGAAACATCTACAAATGCTTGGCGTTCAGAAAAACGTGCTACGAGCAGCCAGTTCCTTTTGACAGCACAGTCCTGACATGGCTAGCTCGTGATGCAGCTCGTGCTGAACCTCCCCGACGGAGCCTTCGGTCCGTTCTTCGGTCCTCCCAACAGAGGTTGATTAACCCTACCAGCACCTTCCAAAAGGTCTCCGAAATGGAGGCTTTTGTAGACTTCAAAGTCGCAGGTGGTGACCTGTTGGAAGGTCCTGGTATAGACTATATCCTAGTTCGGTACCCCTGGTTTTCCGGGTCCTAGTGACCTGGTCACTCTCCACCTCTGTCGGTGTTCTTTCGTCGTCCCCCGAAATCCCAACCGAAAGGCTCACTCCTGTCCCAACTGCGGCTCAAGGAATACTCCCGATCATCCTGTGCCAACGACCGGTCGATTGCCAAGGAAACGTCCAAACAGAACTCCTTAAGCCCCCACTTACCCATCCAATAACCAAACTCCTGAACCCCCCACCTACTACTTCTGCTCAGAAGTATAACAACTCCTCCTCCTGCCTCCTCCCACTCCCACTCCTCTCGCAGCCCGAGTGGCGCGGCCAGGGCCGCCTGCTTGGGCTGTCGCACATCGAGGAGTCCCAGCTGGCCATCGAAGGCCGAACTCAACAAGACCGCCTGCTCCGTGGGGTGCCACTTCACCTGGAAGCGAAGCGAAGCCGCGAACGAACCAGCGAACGACCCCTGAAGGTGGCTGGCACGAGCAGGTCGTGGTCATACAATACAAGACTTGTTGGACCCAATTGTAAGACAGGATCCAATGGTACTGGCACGAGCAGGTCATGGTGGCGAAACCCAGAGATTTGTTGGGTCCACCATTCGAGTGAATCTTCAACCTACCAGCAGTCACGTGAGCTCCGGGGTGCCGGTTCCGAACCGTTCGGAAGGAGGTTAGGGTGCCCCGTCGTCACATCCACAGCCCGATGGGACGAGCCATAACACCCAGGCCCTCCATGTGACTCCTGGCAAGTGGGTCTACTTTAGCCTCCAACAGGGGTATCCAGTCACCTGAACGAGTCGGACCCGGAAAACCTGGGGTACCGGTTCCTGGGATAGCCGAACGTTCGGGTTCTGACCCACCTCTGTCGGAACGAAGATGGAAGTGGATGGCACCCCTCCATCCGCTGGTCTTCCGATGGACAAATAGTACTTTCTGTTGGGGGGCCAGGCCACCCACGTCACGGTTGCAGGATGTGAAGGCTTTGGTGTAAAAGGGTTGATCGATAACCATCCCAGTACTGATCCAAGTATATACCTTCTCAGGTTCGGTACAACTGGATGCCTGACTTTGGTATTGGAAGAGGGAGACCTCCCAAAAACACTCCTGGGAAAGGGCAAACATAGACCAAACCCCCATTTGCTGGAGCCTGCTGCCCTGGCGGTTCTCTCACAGTTTCAAATAACTTTGGGTCTATCCTACTACCAGGTTTCAATGGATGGGGCCTGGGACAGGCCTGGACCCTGGACCCAGGCCAACGTGGATTCGCTCGTGACACCCTGAAACCTCTATACAGGTCCACTGAGTCGAAGCTCCATCCCAGCTCTACGACCAACGCCGAGCTGCGCACTGGACCTTATCCGAGTGGTGATCGAAGGTGTGGACACAGGAGCCTTAGGATTCGGATGGGCCATGCGGCGATGACGAGCGCAGCACTTGCGAGCGCACCGCATTCACACGCAGCGAGCGCCAGCCGAAGGCTGGGGTCAAAGGACTGGAGGCTCAAAGAAGTGGAAGTCGGAACCAAAAAAAAAACACCTCATGTTCATGGATTCCGAAGCCACGTATATCTGGAAGGGGTTCGATTATCGAACAGTGGGAGGACCGTTCGGACCGGGGTGCCGAACTATGGCACTTACACTCCTGCAGAGTCAATGGGGCGGCAGAACTATGGCACTCCCATTAGTCGTGTCTGGGATATCACACACGTACACTCCTGGAGATCTATCCTGAAAGTGAAGCAAGCACTATTAATATACCAGGCATCACATCTCGGGGGTGGTGTTTGGTTCCTAAGTGAGTGGATGTGACAGGGGCATCCCTAATCCTCCGTTCGGAACCGGCACCCCGGTCCGAACATGACTCCGCAGATGTCATGGTCCTCCCACTGCTCGGACATCGAACCCTTCCAGGGAGTGGACGCTTTCATGGCCTTGAACATAGAATCACGGCACCCTCAGATGTTCCCAAAATATCCCAAAATAGTCCTCCTTAGTCCGTCCAACCTCCCCAGAAAGGGAAACCACCGGTTGCACAGTTGCTCAGGTGGGGGAATTGATATTCCCTAGGGCTCCAACCATATCCTCAGATAGTTAGACCCCCCCTGGCACCCACCCCAACCACCTTCTCAGGAGGTGGGCCAGGAGCCCTAGCAATTCTTGGTCGCTCAGGCGTGGCGTGGCTTAACCACGGTCCATTTCACTGAACCAGGTGCTTCAGGACCCGGCTACTAGCATCTCCCCCGCACCTTCAAGCTACCAGCACCAGCAGAGGGAACTCGGGGTCACCTGGCTTAGGGACCTCCAGCCAGGACCCCGAAAGCAGGTCCAGGTATGACCTTCAATCACCTTAGAGAACATCATTAGCAACATGGTCTTCACCGTGTCACCCAAAAATGGTCACCAAACAAAACCATCGCCAAAACCACAGCTCGCCGCTCGCCCACCGCGCTCGCCCACCGCCCTCCTCCCTCCACCGGTCGACCCCGGTCCGACCGTCGGTCTTTTCACCGCCACGAGACCTTCGCCCACGTCCCAGACCTTCAGCGTCCGATCCGCCGAGCCGCTGGCCTCGGTCCCGGTCGGCGTCCGGTCAGGCGGCGCTGGCGCTGGTTCAGCGGTTCGGTTCGGTTCGGTTCGGTGAAAGACACGGGTAGGGGAAGAAGCCAGAGGTTGAAGAAGCCTATATCTTCGAATTATCCCAGGTTGATACCCTAGGGTCCTATTTCAGGTCGCTTAGCCTTTGTTGGTGGCCACGGCTGACGGCACGGAGGTTTGAGCGATGGAGCGATGGGAACAGCGGGGTGCTCAGGTTAGGGTTCCCTTTTGCATGAGAAATTCAATCATCATAAAGGTGTTTCCAATGGAGGTCCAGGGTCGTAGCGGATTCCTGGGGCGGCTTCCAGAGTTGGGTGAAACCTCTTTGAGGATCTGGGTGCTGGGTCCCATGTGGAATGGTCCTGTGGTAATGTGGATGGTTGATGAATCAAAATGACCCCAAGGTACAGAATCCAAGTGGTTGCTGGTTGGTTGTGCCATGCGCTTAGTTGATGAATCCACTTCCCCCCCCGGCATGGTCCAACATCTGCGAGAATCCAACATCATCGACGGAGCAAACTGGATGTATCCCTGGGAGTCAAAGGCTTAATAAAAAGAATGGTCTTTAGGTGACCCGAGTCCAGGAATTTCCTTTACTTCAGTCGTTGGACTTCTAGGGGTATGGTGATCAGCCCGGAATCCGAAAAAAAAATGACGCACCCACCTAGCACTTCCTGAACCAGGGTGCCCTGGGGCCCTGGAGGCCTGGTAGAACGTATAATACGGTAGGGTAGTCGGTCTCGCCAGGACACCCCGGTCCAGGATGATCCTGGCCGAAACATTTGTTGCATCCGCGGTATGCCAAAGAAACCATCAACGGATGAGGCGGTAAAGGGAGTTGCATGAACCGGGTACGCCTCATCCTCTTCCGCGGCATGCCATGCACGAGGCGGTGCATGAATCCATCAACTGGGAAACCACCAGTGGCCCGGTACGGTAATCCGCAGCAGCCCGGGGGCAGTTCGGTACGGTAATCAGAGGTTCGATCGAAGCACCGTCCTTTTCGTAGCTCCGTACGTTCGGTAGTTGAGTGGTTGGACTCCCATCTGAGTTGACATGTTTGGGGGATGAGTGTGTCATCGAACCTCTGATTGTCATCTGTATTTCCCCAGATGTATTGGCAAACAAGGTTAATCAAAAGTAATTATCATTTCGATGGTTGACCAATGCCCAGGTGCCAGCACCGCAGTATTAAAGGAGTTTCCATGCAAGCCTCGGCAAACACAGTCAGCTCAAATCTCACAATTTCTATAGCATGTCAAATCTAATCATGCCAGGTCTCATGTCAGTCGGAGCTCGTCACTCGCTCAAGCAAGCACAATATTACTTTGTATAACCCCTGGGCCCTTTGGTATACCCTAGACTTCCAAGACCATTAACAAAAATGGTTGACCTGGTGTTTGTAGTGTAAAATCCTGCACGTTGATTCCATAAAGCCTATTAAATTAATGGTGGGCCAGGAAGCCTATACTTGCCAACCGAGAAGTGGACTTCACCAAGCGACCACGTCCTGTTTTTCAATCTGTCCTGTTGGAACATGGAAAACGAAGCAGAAAAAAGACGACACAAAGAAGCAGCACCAGCACAGGAACTCGGGGTCACCTGGTTGGAACCCCCAGCCCCAGCACCTTAATGAACCTCTGGCCAGGACACCCTGACATGAAGGTCCAGGTATGTTGTTAGACCCACGGGCTTCTGAGAAGCTGTTTCAGGTCACTCTTCGAGCAAACGGTGCGTAGGTACGACCTACGCAGCAGCTACGCAGCTGGGAGTGGTCCGGCGCGGTACGAAGATGCGCTATTTGTGGCGCTGTTCGGCAAGTGAAAGAACACACAACTACACACTCAGCTAAATCAAGCTGATCTAAAGTCAAGACTCAGCTTCTTCAAAACACGAATGTGGCCAAAGATTCAAAACCAAACATTCAACAAACTCAAAACACATGGCTTCAAGGCTCAAACCCAAAGAAAGACCCAGCAAAACAATCCAAGGACATGATCAAAAGAACGCGTCTCAGCGCCACTCGCAATAGTGGAAGCCAGGAAGCAACCACACACACAAAAAAAAAGAGGACACCTATTGTTCAAACCGCGACACTATCTGCGACAACAACAGCAACAACATACTGTGGACAGAACATGATGAAACCGTGCACAAGTGCAAATGTTTACAGTGTGTGGTGCATAGCGTTGGCATTGTTTTGAAGTGGCATTTCACACCTTTTGGAGTTTCAAGATGTGCGGACATGCTGCTTTTCAGGAATGCGTCAGCATTTCAGGAATTGTTATGAACATGTTTCCCACTTGTGACACGTGCCCTCTCTGTGCACATGTTTTCTGAATATATATATAGATCGTTTCCCTGACCTTTTCTGAACGAGTAACACTGATTTAGATGAGTTTCCTTGAGGTAACACGCATACCCATCTAGCCGTCCCCATGGCTTTGACTACCTATCTGGAGTCCTCGGAACATGGGCCCCAGTCGTACCTGTTTTTTAAAGGTTCATGTCCACTTCTCAGCTATCTTAGCTAATATAGTTACACAACTCCCTTAAAGCTAGTTAACAATGAGTTACTTAACACACTAGCAAAGCCCAGGCTCATCTAAGTAGAGGACACACTGGATTCTCCAGGTCTACTTGGATCCCTCCCGGTCCACCGACCACACCGACCACATGCCCAGTACTGTCGCCCGGTCGCGACCGGTCGCTCCGGATCCAACCAGCATGGTGGGAATGCCGTCTCTTTTGGGGCGCATGGATCCTTTCGAATTCACAAACGATCCCAGGATAAAACGCCCAGGATGATAGAATATAGTATATATATATGTTATACTATTTAATATAATATATATGATTATACTTCATTCTCTGCAACACGTTTTCCTTGGTCACAGCCTGAGCTCTTCCAACTTCCACCGATCCACAGCCATCCGATCCACCGACGACACCGCCGGAGCACCGCCGACGGCGAAGCCGTGGCGAGCCGACGCGTCGCCGAGGAACAAAGCACGGGGCCCTCATGCGCCTTCACCTCGAGCAGAAGCCGAGCATTCGAGGCTGTGAACAGTGCTGTGAATAGCTCTTAAGCGCACATTCGAGGCCGGGTTTGGGGGGAGGGTGAAGATGGGAAAAAAACAGCGCTGCCCCCCACGTTTGGGTGGCGAGGGCTTTTCGAGCAAGCGAGTGGCTTCGATGAGAGGGCCCAATGAGTTCTTTTTTGAAAAGACACGGAGACGTAGACATCCAATCAGGCTCGATGCAGTATTTAGATGTATTTAAGTTGGGGATACGTACCAGGACACTCCTGGCCAGGCTGTTGGGAGACCCTAACAGGTGGGCTTCACCTGGGCACCGGACTTGTCACCAGGAAGCACCTGTAGAGTCGGGTGCTGGTAGATATTCCTTGGGTGGTGGAGCGATATTCCCTGATCCTCCTCGGCATCCAGGGAGTGGATGCAACGGGCGGACCATGGCGGACCATGGACGATCGATGAGAATCGTCTTACCCTAGGGCTCGTGGCCCATATCCTCAGCCTGGCGGACCATAGCCTCGGGTGGAAGAAAAAAAAGGCAACTTGAAAGCAGCTGAAGCGGATTTGGGGCTCAAACTCCCTGCTCAAACCGTGTTGAAGCGGTGCTTGTTCAGCAGGAGGCCGATTTTTTTGAGTTTGTAGCCAGGGTTCTGGAGTTCAGTCTGATGGAGGCAATTGTCTGTCCAAATGATTCTCGAGTTCACCACTTGCGTGGTCTAACCTATAGAACAACCTGGCCAAGCCTCTTCTGGTGAAAGACTGGTCTAAACACCTGATACCCAACCCTTCTTCGGTCCCAAAGGGAATTGGCAATCCCTACCCAAACACGACCCGTCTGGGACTGGCAGTCCGGACTGCCGAGTTTCACGGCCAGGGGTGGTGCCAGGGGGGTCGGGGGGTCATTGTAGGCAATATATATGGCAGTCCCATGGAGTGTCTGGGATTCGCAATCCCTATAAACATGCTGAACAACAAGGGGTGCTGCCCGAACACCATCTTGTCAAAATGGACACTGCACACACACACAACCCATCTCCACTCCGTGAGTAAGTGAAAGCAGCCTGGTCGCCGGGCTGAATCCTTCGCGTCTGGCAACCATGAAACAACCAACAACGTGTCGCCTGTCCAACCGTCACCGAATTGGGGCCAGTCACGTCGCTGCTCCCGGGCGGCTTCTTCTTCTTCTTGGCCTTGTTCTTCGCGCCCTTGGCTTTCCGTGCGCTGCCTGGGCTCGAGTCGGCCGAGTCGAAGGAGCTCGCGCTTCAGAGCGATGGGACGTCCCACACCCCGTTCGATGTCTCAACGGTCCACTACTCAATCACCGAACGGAGGCACGGCGAAGGTGCTTCGATCGAACCTCTGATCACCGTACTGTATATAGGATCATGAATCATGACCCTGCCTGGAACCGACTGACCCATGGGTCTGCAGTCCTCTACAGAGCTTGGGACATGACCCTATCATTAAAAAAAACCACCCAGACGCTCCAAACAGCCCGACTGGTCCCTCAAAACCTATGGATTTGAGACCCCAGACCCCTCCAGAGGATTCGGGTCCGACCCTTCCATATGAGACATGAGCGTCTGGGCAGTTACTTTACTGGGCCCGCAACATCTCCGAAGTACTTTCACGGGTCGGCTCCAGGTCTGAAGGATTAATAGAGTTCCTGTTACCCATCTGCTGGTGTTTGTTGAGTTGCTGTATAACTTGCAAGCGGTCTGCGCTCGGCATGTTCTACTTTTTGTTGCTTGGCAATTTGCACCTTGCTATCCTCATTACCTCTTCAATGATTTGTGTCTGACTCAACTCAGATTTGCCGGAAAGGCAACCCCTTTTCCACCTGTTGGCTCTTAGTCGGAAAACCATTCCTTTGTCAAAACGACATTGTCTTACATCTTCAACGATTTGTGTTTTCACCAACACCCGCCACCCGCGATGAACTAGTCCAACGACGGACAATCCCCATGTGCTATTACAATCCCCATGCGCTATTGAATAGTTCAAGTATCTGGCCTGCAAAGAAATGAGACTGACCCCATTACCAAAACATGAAGAGGAAGACCTTGGATCGTTGCAGCCTATCTAACAGAATTGCAACGAAGAACTGTGCACACGGTTGGTCCACGGTTGGTGTAACAACCTCAACATCACATGAACCATCCCTATATAGGGCTCCAAGCACCCTATGAGAAGGTGATTGGTGGTCCACTACGCCCAAAGTATGAACGACGACCCATCCGGAGAGGACCAAAACCAGCTTCGCGGCTGACGACCGGCGCTGGTCTCTTCGGGCGAAAGCCGGCGGAGTAGGGCGCTACGGCGGCCCAGTTCGGTGTGGGCCACAGACACCCAAAGACATGAAAGGCACTCTCAAGAGAAGCTGCCACCAGCTGCCAGGCGTATTCTCCGATGTGGGTCGCTGAGTTTGGAATGGTCAAACTTGCTATCTCGAGATGCAATTTCGAAAGGCATCATTCATCTCGAATGTGGGTCACTGAGTTTGGGATGGTCGAGTTTGCCAAGGAGCTGCAACCACGAAACGCACCATCTCCAATGTGGGCCACTGAGTCAGGAATGATCAAGATTGCCAAAGAAGTACAGTTTTTGAAGGCATAACCACCAATGTGGGTTACTGAGTCTGGAATGGTCAAGTTCACCAAAGAGCTACAATCTGCAAAGGCAAACGCCCCAATGTGGGTCACTGAGTTTGGGATGGTCAAGCTCGCCAAAGCCCTGCAACCCGCAAAGGCATAATTTCCAATGTGAGTCACAGAGTTGGAGATGATCAAGTTCCGCAAAGAGGTGCATCTTGGAAAGGCATCATTCGCAATGTGGGTCACAGAGTTTGGGATGGTCAAGCTCGCCAAAGCACTGCAACCCATGAAGGCGTGATTCCCAATGTGGGTCACAGAGTTTGGGATGATGAAGTTCGCCAAGGAGCTGCAACGCAAAAAGGCACACTGCCCGATGTGGGTGACTGAGTTCGGGATGGTCAAGTTTACCAAAGAGCTGCAACCCATAAAGGCCCAATCCCCAATGTGCGTCACTGTATCTGGGATTGTTAGCTTTGCCAATGTTTGGCAACCCTCAAAAGCGTTTTCATTAATTCGTGTTTCATCATTAGGAATTTCAACCGCAAGGAACAGTTCCGTGTCGACGATGCCACCAAGACTGGCGATCGCGTCTTTGTTGGAGCAGATCACTTTGTTTGGTTTGAAGACAACACTCAAGTTAGTATCTTCAGCGATTCCAGCGTCCAATACCGTTGCATCATCCGCCAGCAATTGGCTGTCTCCGACAATGATCTCCACACTTGTAGTGCGGCGAGTGAGCTCGTCCCAACACTGTCCTTCCTTGATCTGTTGCTTAAGCTCGCACCCAGTCGTCTCTGGCCTGACTTCAAGAACCATGACTTCACCACTTGGCTGCAGCGCTGAAATTTTGGTTGCCATGGCTCAAAGACCTTGACTGATTTGGTGAGTTGATGGCTTGACTAGCCTTGAAGAGCCGTCTATGATCGTGGACACATGTTTGGCTGCCAGCGAATGGGGTACTTGCGCCATATTGCGACAGCCTAGCATTGAATAAATTATTTTATAGGAACTGTTCAACACCTGTCACACATACACAGAAATGATCTCACTAGACCTCTGAATCCTCTGACACTGAATCCAGTGATGTTCCACATGGAGCCAACGAACATCACCTCTGGAACGGCACCACCCAACGGCCTGTGACTTCGCAAACCTTCCGCCGGACCTTCCGCTGCGGACCGGCCGGGCGGCCCAGAACTTGCACGGGCTCCAAAGGGTCTGGCTCCTTCGTCGGTCTCGGTCGACGGTGAGACACCGCTGATCTCCGTCCGTCGGCGCGGTCGGGTCTCAGGTCGGTCCTTTCATGCCCCGGTCGACGCGACCCGGTCGACCGGCCCTGAGAGCCGGACCCGGTCAGCCGAAGCTGGGTCAGGGCTCTGGGCTTTACACCACCAGCTCAACCGTTCTTTTATTGGAACTGGTCAGGGGGTCTGGGGTTTCTCACCAATCTGCGGGTTTGGAGCGACCAGTAGGGCGTCGTTCACGGGGAGTGTGTCTAAGAATATCAAAACACTCAGATGACCTATATGAGATTTCCTGGTCTTCTGATGATGAGATTGATTATCTTGCAGACCAAATTCCAGCACCTTCCAACAGGTCTCCGAACTGGAGCTTTCTGCAAACAAAGTCGCAGGTGGTGACCTGGCATCCTTGTACCCAACCGTCAGCCTACGGCCAAACATCTTCCCTCCGCCATATGCATGCGTTCCTTCACTCCGCCTCCTTCCAAACCCACTGTGCTCTCCCCACGCTCGTTCACCCCGGCGTCGCGTAGGACGCGCCGCCACGCGTGGGACGCGTGGCGCTCGCGTGGGCGCTCCTCTAAGTTCCACAGCTGAATCGAATGATCGATGGAGCCCACGGCCGCAAAGCACCCCTCCACTCCTGCGGAGCTTCGGGCCATCCATTCCTCGCGCAGGTCGACAGAGCGGTCGACAATCGGACGAGTGGGCCACCCATCTGGGTGTGTTCCAGTCTTCCACCCAATAAGGCGACCCTGGGCCTAAGTTTTTTCTGGTCAAAGGTCTGGGCTTTCGATCCAATCCCTAATAGGTTTTGCCAACAGAGGTGGATAGTGACCTGAAACTAGGAGCCGTCACCTGGGGTACCTATAGGATATAGTTTATAGGGTTCTTCAACCTCTGCTGGTGAGGCACGGGGAAAGGGGCTGTTTTCATAGAGCGTCTGGGCAAGACTATTCAATTAATTACCTTGGATTTGCTTAAGGAACCTGGAATTTTTCAACATATTCACCAGAATTGGTCTTTACTACCTATATAGGGAACAACAAACAATCACCCAAAGCCACCTGTTACGGTCCTTTGCAAGATCCGGTTTGAATGGTCCATCCGGTTTTGCTCGCCCGGCCGAAGGCCCAGTGAGTTCGGACCCTTCAAGGGGTGTCCTGGCTGGACTACCCCACACTATACCGTCTATAGGCTTCCTATACCAGGGCACCCCGAAAACGGAGGGTCCTGGCAGCGGCTCTCAAAGCCATGAAAAGTCTTTGGAGACACCTAGCACTAGCACACACCTAGCACTTTCAACCTAGCTTCACTACGGCCCTTTCACATATAGCACCTCCAATGGTAGGCGTTTTGGACACTCTCCATTTCGTGTCAGGTCACCTGGCAGAGTCGGATGCTGGTACCAAAACCCGACCTGGCTGGGCGTTATGAAAGGAACGTTACCTGCCTGGAACCCCAGTCCCAAGCAGAAACAAATGCTTGGAACCCGGCGCCAGCTTGAAATCCTTTACGGACATGGTTGGGACTGGGGAGCAGTTCCATCCGTTTCTTTCTGGTAGGGACTGGTGTTCCAGGAAGATCACTCCACTGATCCACCTAACTCCACTCATCCCTTCCAGCCGTCCGCGCCCTTCGCCCTTCGCGCTCCCCACCGTGGATCGTTCACCGTAAGCGACCGTGACACCGTGACCGTGACAACGCCGAGGTGCCACGCACAAAGGATAGGCTCCCAAGCTAATGTCGTGATGCACATACATGTTCACCTACCAGACGTGAAGGAGGAAAAAACTCCATGGATTCATACCTGGACCTTCTTTCGGGGTGTTCTGGCTCGAGGTCCCTTAGTAGTGGGCTGGGGCTTCCAGCCAGGTGACCCCGAACTGAAGGTGCTGGTCTGATTCATGGATGGATGGCCATTCATCATTGGGTCGGCCGGTCGGAACGGAAAAAAAGAAAAACAGAACCGACGTGATCCTCTTCTTCTCACCCGTCCGGATTCGAGGAGCCGGAGCACCCGGTCACATGCGATGCTGAGCTGTGAATGGATGAGCTAGTCTGACCAACAGAATTCGGGTCGAGGGATGTTTGATCCACCCGCGCTTCCATGGCCGACATGGGGTGGGTTGACACCAATAAGTCTGCACCAAGCTTCCCCCCCAGTTTTTCCAAAAGCTTCGTACCTTTTCAGCTGGTCTTGGGAGCTCCAGGGTAAGACTTAAACGCCATACCGGGGCCATACCAGGTGAAATTCATGCTGCCACAACGGTCTCTGTTCAGCATCTGGTCTTTCCTTCCAAGAAAAGGGAGATAGTGGAAGAAACAACAAAACCACACCAAAACATAACTAAAACACCAAACAAACCCTAGGCGCCTCAAAGTGCCTTCTGACAAGGTGTTTGGGATGGGTTTGGAGGGTCCAAATACCTCCTGAGGAGGAAAATCAACAACAAAAACTATAACCATCGACTCGCTGTGTGTTCTTCAAGTGGCTGGGGGAATGCCTCGCCATCCTTTTGTCTCTCTAGTAGTTCACAGTGGATCCACATACCTTCTCAGAAGGTGATTCGAGAGTATTTATGTAGGCTTGGAGGGCCCAGTCGTACCGAACCCGAGAAGGTATGTGGATCCCTTAGTGGAAAGGCAAACATGTTGGATGCCCTCAGAATCCGAGCCCTCAAATACGTAGAGCTTGCTTCGGGTCCGGACCCCGGACGCATTTCGGTGTTCTTCGTCCGGACCCCGGCCGAGGGCCTGAGCTCGGATTCTTGGTGCGAAACACATGTGGACCCCCCAAAAAAGGTGGAACAGCCGTGTTTATAGCCCATCCCATAAGGTCTCTCTCAACCAGTTCAGGTCTTAATTCAAGTCTCTCAACCAGTTCAGTTCAGGCCTCTCTCTACAGGGTCCGAACGTTCAGGTCTCTCTCAACCTCTCTTGGTTCCGGTGAAGATCGTTGAAGGTAGATCACTTCCTAAGACTCTGAGAGAAGGTTCAATGGATTTCGTTCAATGGATTGCCAGTCCGCTCACCTCCCCGCCCCGGGCACTCCGTTCGTTCGAGACGTCCGGCGACGCGTTCGGCGACGGGAGGCGACTCGTTTCGACGTCGGGCGTTTGCCTAAGAGCGCCAGGCGGCCCCTTTGGGGAAGCGCCTCATTCCCAAGGCGGGTCACTGCAACCAACAAAGGCATACTCTCCAATGTAAGTCACAGAGGCCGGGATGGTCCAGTTGGTCAAAGAGGTGCAGTTTTGGAAGGAATAGTCCTCAATGTGGGTCACTGAGTCCGGGATGGTCAAGCTCTCCAAAGAGGTGCAAGAGTGAAAGGCACTCTGCCCGATGTAGGTCACCGAGTTTGGGATGGTCAAGCTGGCCAAAGCACTGCAACCCGCAAAGGCACCATCTTCAATGCGGGTCACTGAGTCTGGGATGGACAAGCTCGCCAAAGCACTGCAACCCGCAAAGGCATCATGCGCAATGTGGGTCACAGAGTTTGGGATGGTCAAGCTTGTCAAAGAGCTGCAATTCGCAAAGGCACTATTCCCAATGTGGGTCACAGACTCCGGGATGGTCAAGTTTGCCAAGGATCTGCAATCAGCAAAGGCACTGTTCCCAATGTGTGTCACAGAGTTTGGGATGGTCAAACTTGCCAAAGAGCTGCATTTCGCAAAAGCACAGTTCCCAATGTGGGTCACAGAGTCTGGGATGGTCAAGCTCACCAAAGCAGTGCAACACGCAAAGGCCCAATTCCCGATGTCAGTCACTGAGTTCGGGATGGAAAAGCTTGCCAAAGCACTGCAACCCGAAAAGGCAGAATCCCCAATATAGATCACTGAGTTTGGGATGGTCAAGTTCGCCAACGAGGTGCACCATCGAAATGCACGCTCCCCAATGTGGGTCACTGTGTCTGGTACGGTCAAGTTGGCCAATTTGTAGCACCCCGCAAAAGCGTCTTGAAGAATTTGTATTTCTCCATGAGGAATTTCGACTGCAAGGAACAGTTGCGAGTCGACGATGCCACCAAGACTGGCGATCGCATGTTGGTCGGAACATATTACTTTGTTCTGCTTGAAGACGACTGTCAGAGCACTATCTTCAGCAATTCCAGCGTCCAACACCTTTGCATCATCGGCCAGCAATTGGCTGTCTCCGACAATGATCTCCACACTTGTAGTGCGGCGAGTGAGCTCGTCCCAACACTGTCCATCTTTGATCTGCTGCTTGAGCAAGCGGCCTGTTGTCTCCGGCGTGACTTCAAGAACTAGGATTTCGCCATTTGGCTGCACAGCTGAAAATCTCTTCGCCATGACTCCGAAACTAGTGTACAGATTTGGATGATTTTGGATTAGGGGGTCGCTAGCGTTCAAGAGCACTCTATGATCGTGAACACATGTTTGGCTTTGCTGGACAGGCGATTTTGACAAGCAATGCAAACATAGCACAAAATCGTCGACACCTGTCACACATGGTCTATGATTTAGATCGGAGTGCTGTGAGAAATTGTGCTCTACAGACCACTGGAATTTCTGGAATTCCCAGTGATGTTTCATCAGCAGGACGGTTTGGAGCCTCTGCGCTGCGCTCGGTGAGGTACGAACAACGATGCTACCTTCCGACACCATCTGGAACTCCCTCAAGCAACGGAACACAGGTGTTGAGTCGTCCAAACCCACCAACAGAGGTTAAGTGACCTGAACTAGGACCCGTCACCTGGGGTACCTATGGGATAGTCTATAGGGTCATTCAACCTCTGTTGGCAGAAACTTCCATGAGGATCCATGTCTTGCAAAGCTTTTGGGTGTTACATGGTATGTTTTACGGTTTTGCCAAAAATAGACGATGACGATGACGACGACGATGATGAAGGCATTCTCCCACCATATGGTTTCGGGGGTTGGGGTGTTGAGTTGGTGCGGTACAATCATGTCAAAGCTGCCAAAAAGCTTGTGTATCTTGGTGTGCAAAGTGGGTCCAAATTGAAATCTGCACATGACAGCTACAGAATGTATACCAGCACCATCCTGTATGAACCTCAGGATGGTCTATATAGGTATATGATAATATGGCAGTGACTCAATTTGCCCCACTGGTGGTAATCACCCACCACTTGTACCAAGAGAGGTTGAGAGACCTGAACTAAGACCCTGGTCTGTGGTACATATGAGATGGGCTTTTTCAGGCTGTTCAACCTCTGGTAAGAGGGTCAAAAGCGTCAACATGAGTCACAGTCATGAACGTCCAAGGTATCCCACGGCATCCAGATGTCGCGGATGTCGCTGGTCACCAGTGAAGAATACATGTATATAGAACCCCCTGGTTCCTTGTATAATGGAAGTGGTAGCTGGGATTCATATGACAATAATCGAATTGAATTTGCACCCCCATTTTTTTTTACCTACAAAGACCTGGATGGTCTACCTCTCACGCCAGCAAAGAAGCAGGAGATAGTGGAAGAAGCAAAGAAGCAAACACATTAACTCTCCACCATGCGACGCGACAGACTAAAAAACTTAAAAAAAAACGCCAACAAAATGGAAGCCCCGGGCCCCTACGTATCGGCGACTGTCCGGGACATCCAAACAGGACACCCTACTCTTTCGGCGAAAGGTCCAACACAGATCGAGCCGAGTTTTGGATCACATGGAGCTGGTGACCCGTCGGTCACTTTTCCGATGGCGCTGGGATCCTCAACACCCAGACACGACCGCCATCGACGGGACTGCGTTCGTCCGTTCTGCCGGTTCAGAGGTCGACCCCCCCGCAATACCACCACCCCGAAAGCCGTGAAATGAAGGCAGTCCTATGCCTGCCAGTCCCACTAGTCCTCTCGCGTCTGGGAACACTGCCCTAAGCCGACCCGCGATTCAGGAAAGTACCTTCACACGACCCGGTTCGGTTTTTCAGGACCCTCCAGACCCAACGGTGTACCGAAACACATCACCGTTTTTTAGATACGGGGAACCGGGTACTTTCCTGGATCCCGGGTTAGGGGCTGAGGAGTGATCGGCTTCCCTATCTGAAGAAGCTTGGTTCGCTTCGGTGCAGAGCACCAAACAGGTGGAACAACAATCGGGAAAAAATGTGGTGGCATGGACGACCAGGACATCTGACTCAGCATCTGACATGTTGATCGACCTGTCAAGTGTTGGACTCCTGAGTTTTTACTCCATATGCAGGTGAAATTCGCCATGGTGACAAAAAATATATTCAAAACATGATCACCAATGAACAAACACAACACCCCCCTACAAACCAAAGAACTAACCATCGATATTCTTCATGTGGCTGGGGGTCATATGTCACCATGTTTTCACCTGTGTTCACACCAGAAGTGCTGCACCAATGACGACCAGACCTTCATCCTTCATCCCTGAAATCTCTTCGTTTTTTTTCCTCAGAACATGTTTGAAAGGTCGAAGGTTTGAGATACCAAGAGAGGGTGAGGAACAGCCGTGTTAAGGTCGCCCATCTCTGTACCAGAGACCGACCAGGGTCCGAACGTTCACCTCTCTTGGTAGCATGGTCACCTTGATCTTGTGAACTGCTTCTGGCTTCCCTCTGCCAAAGAGCAACCCGCAAAGGCACCATTCCCAATGTGCACTGAATCTGGCATGGTCAAGCTCGCCAAAGTACTGCAACCCATAAAGGCCCAATTACCAATTTCCGTCACAGAGTCGGGGATGCTCAAGCTCGCCAAAGCACTGCAACCTGCAAAGGCAAAATGGCCGATGTAAGTCACAGAGTTTGAGATGGTCAACTTAGACAA